TACCTCCCGTGTCACAGTTGACTTCCTGTTGCCTGCAAGATGTAGGGTTCTCAGGTACTTCTCCAACACCATGCCGCCATGCTCTCCACCATGATGGTAATGGACTGAACCTCTGAAACTATAAGCAAGCCTCTCTAATTAAATTTTTTGCTTATAAGAGTTGCCATGGTCATGGTGCCTCTTCATGCCAATAGAAACCCTAACTAAGTTAAAAGGTGGATGGCAAATAAATAAAATAATACTCTTTTGAAAAACAGAGACACATTTGTTTAAACATTTTAAGAAAAATTTCCCATGTGTACAGGCTTTGCAATCAAAGAACCAGAAAGAAATTTAGAACACAATTACTAACCATAAATTATGCACAGACAGTTGTCATTTACTGACACGTTGCCATCATTTCTATGTGGCTAAGTACAAGTATCTTGTAGTAAATCGAGACGCTTTCTGACAAGCACAAGAAGAGAAAGGAGGCAGCACAGGAGGAGGAAGACAATGGAATCCAACACAAATAGATAAAGAGGAGGGAGATGCAGCACTTGCCCAGCCCCAGGGAAAAGACAAAAATCACCCTTGGCCATCACAAGCTGCCTTGAACATGTGACATTCTTATCTGGTGCAGCCACAAACCTTCTGAATACGGTCTTAAAATCTATGTTCTAAGCATTCAATCCATTGTACCTCTTTACCCCTGAAGTCACTGAAGTGAGAACTACATGGAAATTAGAACTTAAGCTTGTCTGCTCCATTTATTCCTACTGTGTTAGCAAATAGGAATGGCTATCCATACAAGTGTCCATTAAGATTCATTTTGTTTGAGTAAAGTTGCAGTTGTACATGTTGACTAATGGGAGGGATGTAGGTGCTGAAGTTGAGGGCAACTCAAATGCACATGGAGAGTTTCCAAGTCAGATGTTGTTCTTTAAGGAGTGTGGTTTTCTCCATCAGCATTAAAGTAAAGGACCTGTTTGTTAGTGCTACTTATGTTAAGGACTGCTCCTTGAACCTAAAGGTGTTGATTAACTTGGAGACTATGCAACAAAATTTGCTCAGAATGTTTCATGGGTTGAATAAGTCCTGTATATGTTAACTACAAGGACATGCTAATCTGGTTACAAAAATATGAAGATACATTAAGACTATGGTCTGCTATTCCCAGCAGAAGATGGCAGAGCAAGAAACTGCTTCAATGGGGCCATCAATCTCATTCTGAATTCCACACTCTTGTTGCCCTGGTTCTTGTCAGCATCATTAACATCCCAGGGTCCAAGGTTTCAACTGGTCAAAAATAAAGCTAGAATACAGTTTATGAATAAAGTTATCCCAGTCATCCTTTGCCAAATGCCTAAAATAGTTTTACAGAGTCACAGTCCTGGTGTGTCTCAATGAAAGGAGGATAAAATGCCACTCTTAATGCATGGCACAAGTGCAAGTAGGTGAGATAGAGTGAAGAATTAGTAGGTCAACAATCCTCTGGATGACAGATGGATGAAGCAGTCAGAAAACATGTTAAATGTTGGCAGTAAAAAGAAACCCCAGATGAGTTACAGAAAAAAATGGTACCAATTTTGATTTTTCTGGGCTACACAACACAACATATATGTTAAGACAGCATAAAGAATGTTTAACTCACTTGTCCAGAATAAATATTTGCTTTCTGATCCTTTTAAATGCACATGAGTGGGTTTACTAAATGACAAGCTATTTTCAATTTGAAGAGAATCCATGGCCCAACCACCAAGAGGAAAATTCACAGGACATTTTCATAACTAAAAGAAATTCATATTTTTTCTTCTATAAATTTCAAGATCCCTTTTTAAATATAAAACAACATGAATATTCTAATATTCACAGTATTTTCCAAATGATGAGGATAATGAACTTTGGGAATATTGCCTTTAATATTTATAATTTCACTTGTAAACCTTCCTGATCCCCACTAATAAACTCTAATGGATCAGAGACATCTTTCTTTCAGATAAAAAGTATAGGTGATTCTTCATTATCTGCTGTCAGAAAAGCTGTCTTCCTCAAACCTTCAGAAATGCCCTTTTGGTGCTGACAGCTTATTACTTAGAGCCTCTTCCCCCAAGGTGTTCAAACTTGCTGATTTTGGGGAGCTAAGAAGCTCTACTCTCACCCCTGACCTGAGGAGCCTGAGCTCTTTCTCAGCTGCAAACTTCTTTCCTGATTATTTCCCTGGTTGTACTCTTTGAGGTCTCCTTAAGAGTCAACACAAGATGAACCCAAGGTAGCAGACTGAAGATTGGGGCATTTTTTTTTCTCTTTTTGAGAGTTGCACTTAGGACAAAAACAAAATTAGCAAGTAAAATAATTTTGTTATAGAAAACAATTGCCATGCCAACAGCTACCTTCGGGCCTACTATGAGGATTAAAGAAACTAAGCATTGTGAAAATGACTGGAACCTAAGAGCATGGACTGTAACTCCACAAGGGCAGAAATAAGTTGCTGCTTATTCAGTGATGATGCCAAACACCTAGAACAGAGCCCAACACATGATGGACCTCAAGCTTTGCTGAACGAATGAATTATATGGTGCAATCAATAGTATATGACCAAAATAATGAAGCAAAAATACAAACAGTGGAACAGATCACGACAGTGTGATCTATATAAAGCAACATGGGGCAATTTCTTACCAGTCCATTTAGAGTAGTCAGCAAATTAAGGTCGACAAAAATAAGTGTAGTCAATTTGTTAAAATTATTTTAAATCACATTTGATAATTCTTTCCTAAGACAATATATAAAGTGAAGACACAGAACTTGTGCTTCAGGGTTTCAGACATGAGTCAATGGTAGGATGCTTGCCTACCATTCCTAAGGCCCCCAATTCAATCTCCACTGCTGACCAAAACAGAAACCAAAACAAACTGATACATACTTCACTGGTTATTTCTCAAAGAGATCTATGTTATCTTTGGGGGAGGGGGAAATAGCTCTTCTAAGAAGTCTACAGAATGGCAGTCACAGGCTGGGGATGTACCTTGGTGTAGCATTTGTTTGCACAGAGTGTATGAGAGACTGTGAGGTCAGCCCCCAGTTGTGGGAGTGACATCAGCCACACCCTCTCACCTGATCTCCAGATGACCTTTAAAGATATTGTCACTTTACAACTTCACAACTGCTACATGAAGGAGAGCCTGCATTTACTGAGACAGGGCAGTGTCATTTAAAATGGAGGCAGTGTTCACAAGACTGCATTCTCGTCTAAATTATTTTGGTCACGGACTTACAAGGGTGTTTTTCCCACCTTCCTCTCTTTAGATATTTTTCCAGTTTGAAAAAGTGGATGCTTTCTTCCCAAAAATGCATTTTGAAACAAATGGTTGCTTGTTCATATGAAAACTAACCTAGGAAAAGATGAAATCCTCAATGGGGACTGAACACGTCATTTGGGAAAACACACATCTAAACTATAGTAGAGCTTAAATAGTAGAGAGTAAATTATGCTCTCTTAATTACTTTAAAAAAAAACCTCACTTTTTTTGCACTTGGGCACTTGTGTAAGTATGCCAGGATGAATATGTTCTTGTAAAATAAATAATGTTGGAAACCCCTTCTCCATGAATTACAGCATTTGGAGTGAAATGAATATGACTACGAAATTACTCTGTGGCTTGCTGAGCTATCCTTGCTAATTTGCACTTAGTTTAACCACTGAAAAGTCAACAGAGGTTACAGCTAAGCAGTTTTGTACACCCAGAAGTCAATCACCAGCAATTTAAGAAATCTTTAAAGCTAACTTCTCTGAGCACAATTCTAAACCTACAAATCCCCAAATTGCCTAGAAAAACAAATGCTATTTGTGCGACATTATTTACTTGTTTGTGGTCACGTGAACCTATCTCACATGTTTCTATACAATATTTCAAATATTTACAATATTTCAAAAAAAGCTGTGCTCACATCTCCCAAGGCACACAAACATTTCCAAAGCATATAGGCCTTGCCTTCACTTGAGCTTGCCTCTCCCAGGGTGCAAAGGGCTTTCCCAGCATTTAAGTTCTATGCTCTGTGAATGAGACCGGTGTTAATAATTTCATTTGTTCCATTCTGTTAGTAGCCATTTCAAGTGAAAGGCCGGGACAGGTTCTAAACACACTAAATTCTATAAAGCCATTAGCAATAAATTTGACCTGGCAGTTTGCTGGGACAATGGAAACCGCTGAAAGGCACGTTAGTCTTTCTGGGCAAACTCACCGGGATTAAAAGAATAGGTTAAGACTGTCTAAGGACACAGTAATAATAATAATAATAATAATAATAATAATAATAATAATAATAATAATCCAACTGGATATCACTTTCCCAATCGCTTGGAGACTTTGCTAATATCTGGCCTCAGCTTTAACTCAACTGCCTACAGCTTTCCTCCCAATCCCACTAGTTAGGTTTTATTCAGTAAAAATAAAGATATTTATTTATATGTTTAATATAAATAAAATATACTCAAGTATTAAAAATATCAATAAACTCGAAGTGCCCTTCTTTCACTAAATTCCTGTTTATAGGTGAACTTCCTACTTTAGTTTTCAATCCAAAAATCAGCTAGCTCAGAACGAAGCAAACAAGCTTCAGCCTTGATCTTTATACCTCAGGAGATCCAAACTGTGAAAGTTTACGGAAGTCCAAAGTTTGTGCAACACTTTTCAAACCATCAGACCCCCACCAAGGCATTGGCAAGGTCTCTAGCCGCTAAGTCCCACGCACCGTCCTGCCAACAACTTTCTGGAGATGCAGTGCTGACCTTGGGGACAGAAGCCAGCCAACTAGAAATCCCTAAACTCCCAGTATCCCCGCTAAAACCAATCCGTCCAGGTAGCCCAGCCACCTGTTGAAGAAGTAGGCTAGGAATGACGAGGGCTGGGTGGGATGGAGAGAAAAGATATCAGAACTGGTGTCCCTTCCTGACTGCCCAAGTAGCATCTGCACCCGGGATCAGCTCTCTGCAGTGGGTCACCCGGGCGAGCACTCACCGCGAGGTTCACCGGTGGAGACTGCTTTGGCGCATGGGCTGGCTGCAGAGCTAACCTGGGGCTGAGTTTCCCTTAGAGCTGAGGCTATCCTGGAACCAAGGCTTCCCTGGGCCGAGGTTCCCTTGGGCTGGGGTTCCCCTGGATAGAGGCTCCCTTGGACTGAAGTTCCCCTGGGTCGAGGCTCCCCTAGGCTAAGGATCCTCTGAACTGAAGCTCCCCGAGGCTGAGGCTCTCCTGGGTCGAGGCTCCCCAGGGCTGGGGCTCCCCAGGGCTGAGGCTCCCCGGAACTGAGGCTTCCTGGGTCGAGGCTCTCTTGGACCGAGGTCCCCCTTGACCAAAGCTCACCTGGGGTTGAGGGCTGAAAGGCACTGTCTCGGTCCCCTGGAGCCCGGCCGGGCACCTGGAAGGCCCAGCAGGCAACACAGGGCCCG